TTAGTGGTATTTCTCTAAAAATTCATAACCTGGATATAACCACAGAGAAACATAACAACTCACAGGCACACAGATTCATGGTCTTTAAAATACCTGATCTGTGCTCTTAGACAATGTCTAGTTTAAGAAATAAAAGTATGTCACAATACACACATAGATGAATGGAACATCATTGAAGATCCAAACCCAAGTACATGCAATTTCAGCCACCTGATATTTGACAAAGGTGCCAAGAACACACAATGAGGGAAAGACAGCATATTCAACAATAGTGCTGGCAAAACTGGATCTCCACCTGTAGAAGAATGAAACTAGATCCTTATCTTTCACCTTGCACAAAAGTCAGCTCCAAATGAATCAAAGACCACATGTGAAACTGGAAACCCTGAAACTATTAGAAGACAATATTGGCAATAACTCACAAGATAAGGCGTACGAAAGGATTTTCTAAATTGGACAACAGTTGCTAAGGAATTAAGGTCAGCAATCAACAGCAATGAGTGGGACCTCATTAAACTAAAAAGATTCTGTACAGCAAAAGAAACAATTGAAAAGTGAAGAGAAAACCCACAGAATGGGAAAAAAATCTTCACTAGCGACACATCTGACAGAGGTTTAACATCTGGAATATATAAGGAACTCAAAAAAACAAAGAATCGAGAAATCAAATGACCCAATTAAACGATGAGCTAAAGATCTAAACAGAGAGTTCTCAAAGGAAGAAATAAAGATTGCTAAGAAACATCTCAAAAAGTGTTCAACATCGTTAGTAATTAGGGAAATGCAAATTAAAACCACCCTAAGGTATCACCTTACCCCAATCAGACTGGCTAGGATCAAGTGAACAAATGATACCAAATGCTGGCGAGGATGTGGAGAAAGGGGAATGCTCATTCACTGCTGGTGGGATTGCAAACTCATAAGCCTCTATGGAAAACAGTGTGGAGAACTCTTAAAAAGACTAAAAACGAACCTACCATTTGACCCAGTTACACCACTCCTTGGCATATACCCAAAGGACTCATTCTACTCTAGAGACACTTGTACAACCATGTTTGTTGCTGCTCTTTTCACAATTGCTAAGAGATGGAAGCAACCTAAGTGTCCCTCAATTGATGAGTGGATAATGAAAATGTGGTTCATTTATATGATGGAGTTTTACTCAGCAGTAAAGAAAGATGAAATCATGAAATTCGAAAGTAAATGGATGGATCTAGAAACTGTTATACTAAGTGAAGTAACACAGACTCAGAAAAAAAA